TACTTGACTACAGCCCACTTCAAACCCGCCCTTCGCCAACCTTGCTGTTGTGCAACTATCATGCCTCTCTTAGCACCTTGCTTCTTCGACCTTTGGACTGGCACAGCTAAAATTTGGAACAGCCAGGCCCCGCAATCTTCCCAACCAATCCCTGGCCACCATCCCACCCAGCTCTATCAGCTTTAAGATGCAACGCAGCATCTGAATTCAAGGTGAGGTGGTTGTTACTTATTAGTGATATTTTGTTTGATTGATGTGCTGACGGAATTATGAGCGAGAGAGCTTATCCAAGCATATGATGCATCTTCCCCCCACATGCGCCAACCATTTTACACTACACATGTGCTATCACAATTTTTTTTTATATTTTTTGGTTTTTTGGCGTGCATCAATCCATGCTTCGACTGATTAGTGACTCCTCCAATGTTAATTGTCCCCTTCCTCTCTCTCTCTGTCGTGCAAGTGACTGCATATTGTTAAGTAGACTGTCAACAACACATTTGAAAAGAAAAAAAAAAGAAAAAGAAAATATTAATTCTTATTTTAAATACACACCGACAGTTTCATGTAGACACGTACCAAACTTGTTAGCATGTATGGTAATACCACTGTACAGAGCCATCAATCAATCCCGTAAATTAAAAGACCAGGCCAAAAATGTCGTTATCTATTATTATCAAGAAGTTCATTATCCTTATGCCCTTTGCAATTAACTATGAATTTTTTTTTTCTAATGAGTAGTACTCGTTGGACAATCATTACGACATTTAAATTTTAATATGGATCTTTTAGATTACCAAAAAAAAAAAAAAGAAAACCCCACAAATATGGATTTATGTCATAGGCTTAGCGCACGCTTCAAACATTATTATTATTACTCCTTGTAAGTGCGAGCATATGCATACTGTTGTAAAGCTTCTGCTGGAGCCTTTGCCCAACTTTTGTTGTAAAGTTTCTTATTATGATCAATACATCGTTAACGTTTCCGAAAAAAAGAAAAAAAGAAAAAAGTAAACAACTAAAGAAAAAAGTTAAATTGACGTAAAGCAGCTCAAAGTCATTATTGTCAGTTCGTCATTTTGCCAGCTAACGAATGATCGATCGTCACTTGACTCACTAGTTGAATGGACCTGTTCCGTAGGGCAACCTTTATGGTAGAATCTGCTTATGGTAGGAATGTCGGCAGAGAGCGACACGTGTTGGAGGTAAAACGGTCTAAACGAAGATGTTAAATTGTTGGAGAGCGCGTGCATAGAAAATCAAGTAGAAGTGTGTGCGGATGGAAGCAAACAGCAGACTGACTTCCGTATTATGTTATTGCAAGTCTTTCCTGTGTACCAAATATTTGGTGACCCCACTTCTTTCCCATAGCGTCTGAAGTAAGCTTCAACTTTGGCTTTCCATTATTGAAGTTCGGCTTCCACTGTGGACCCGAATAACCGGTTTTATTAATGATTGAAACTTAATATTATAGTTAGTAATTGTTGGTAACGTAAATGTATAATATATGATTGTATGTATCATTCATAAATGTTATGTGTTTAAGCATTTTAATAAATGTATGTATCATTTATAAATGTTATATGTTCTAATAAATTTATTTTCTAAGTCACAAGTATAAAAGTTAAATTTGTACTAATGTAGCATAATCTTTGAAAACTATAGTAAATTTACCCATATATTAAGTTTCATGAGTTTCAAACATATTATGTATCATTTACAATATGGATTTATATGCCGCACATTTTTTTTATCAAACTTACTTTTAATTGGCAAATAGTATGTAAATTATTATAAAATGTCATTTTATAATAATCATAATTTTTTATAGGTGAATGGTATATAAACTGCTAAAATTGCCAATTTATAAATTATCAAATCTTACTACTTTATGGCATATATTAGTTTGATCAACTAAAAAAATTATCGTAATTAAGTGTACGTTGGTTGTTGATTTGAAATTTGCACCCTTGTCACTATTTCGTTATTACTACCACAAGTATTTCTAATCAAAGTAAAACAAAGTCAAATATCTTTTTCTTTTGTATGTAGTATTTATATTTATTAAAAAATTAATGAACCATGATTACATTTCATAATTTCTAATGAAATTAGTAACATTTCCTAAATAAATTGGAATAATTTGTAAAATATGTTATTTTTTTTACCAATATAATTAGGGGTGGCAATCGGGTCCAAATCAGATTGGCGGGTCGGATTGAGACCCAGGTATAATAGAAAACTCGCATACCCGAACCTAACCTGCCAACCCGAACGGGTCAGGATATCTGACCCGAATATGAAAATTTCAGGTTGTCGGGTTGACGGGACGATCCGAATGACCCAAAACTTAATTTTAATTTATTAATTCACCACTGTAATTTCTAATTCGCACAAGACTAATTACATAATCAAGTAATAAAAATTTAAATAAATAATCCCAAACCAAATCTAAAATAAATTAAAAACACCGTAAAAGTGTTTTATTCCAAACGAAATATAAAATAAATTAAAGCAGTATAAAAGTAAAAAATACTATAATACATTATTTGTCCAAATATAATAATTTCAACTTCAAATAAGTTAAATAAATTCATTTAGGATTAAGTGATTAATGCATTTGGAAAAAAAGAATAACTTAGTTTAGTTAGATAAAATAATTTTTAATTCATAAACAGGGTATCGGGTGTATCGGATCACCCACTGTTTGACCCGAATTCGACCCGTTGTCTTTTCGGGTTCGTCGGATTCGACTCGATTTTTATCCGGACCCGCGAAACCTCAATCCGAATCCATTAATTTCGTGTTAGGTTCATATCGTGTTTTTAGGTCGTATCGGAAATTACCACCCCTAAATATAATCAAAAGAAATTTGCACTATTAAAAAGCAAGTGGAAGAAAGGATGATTGCATAAGTATAAATGTGAGCAACTATATACATATCACACCATAAGTCTAGGTTTGATTTGTTCAAAACATAGGTAATTTATTCGTTAGTAGATATAAAATGCATATTATTTTTCTACAAATGGAAAATACAATTTCATATATACTAACCATTAACAGAATATGTAGTTTGAACACGATCAATTGAACTCATATTTTGTTTGTTTAGCTATCATTTATTTTGTTACTTAGGTTGAATATTTACATTTGAATGTTCTATTGATATGGGAACTTCAATTATTCTTAATGAACTTCAATTAAGTGTCAATGACAACA